GGAATGCTTTAATTACTCGGGTTATTTTATCTTGACACAAACAGTAGTTTTCTTCTACGCAGGGTTTTATTTTGAAATAGTTACGTAAAGCGGAAAAAAAGTTATCTGAAAGTCCCTCAAGTCTATTAAAGCAGCCTTTCCTAACCAACATTTTCATGTACAGTTTTAATCTATCCTAGATATAAAATGCTTGGATATTCTTACCTGTTTTGCTAAGATGGCAACGTACAAGACTGTTTATTAGCAGACTTCCCATTGCTGTAGAGCAGTGATGCAATTAGGCAAAAATAAATGGCAACACAAGTGACTCTGATACTTGTATTTTGCATTTTAAATACCCAAAGTATTCTGCTTCTGCAGGTGGAAACCCCTGTGGACTTCAATTGAATTTTTACAGTGGAAGGTCAAGTTTAAGTTCAAAGTTAATCAAAAGGGGCGAGGGGGGGGAACCAGCTCATTGACAAAAATCCCAGGAATAGACAAGTACAACTGGTCAGTTTAGTTGGAAAAGTTATACCTGTTTTACCAGCTGTGACTTCAATCTGCTTGACTGTTAGTCTTTAAAAAACCAAAATATATGGAGCACTTATCAAGGAAAGACTACCATTCGTTTTTCTGTTCTGCAGTAAATTACAGAAATTATTTTTTTTTCCTATCTTGATTCTAAAATACTAGATTAAAAAAAAGGTAGCAGAAATGAAAATGAAGTTCAGTCACATGGAAGACATGAAGAATGATTATCCAGATTTGAATATTCAGTGTGTTTTTGGTGTAACTACAAAAATCCCATTCAGACTGAATCAAAACCAGGCACTGCTTACTTTTGAAGATGAAGAAGGTACGATGCATATTTTAAGTATAAAATTAATGTCTCTGATGTATTTCATTGCCAAAGGGAAAAGATTTACATAAACATTTTGGAAAAAAAAGAATCAACAACAGCCAAAGAAAGAATACACAGAGAACCTTTCACTATTATGATACCAATCAGTAGAAGAAAATTCTTGCAAGCACTCTGTATGGTTTTGTTGGATTATCAGATTTTTGCTCTCCGCTAATACAAACAATACTTGGTGTTTGAAATTGGGAATATGTTTCTACCTCAAAGGGTATTCTCAAGAATGATTCAAAATGTTTTGACAGCAGAATTTGATTATTTTCTTTTACTCTGGGCAGTACCTTATTCTGACAGCAGTTATGTTGGTTAAGTGTACACATCAGATGATGGGTAGATCTGAGATGAGAGAGGGATGGTGCAGTCTATAACTTGCCTGCTTCCCACCGATACCCTTGCTGTTTGGACAGCCTGGTGCTGCCCGTGAGGAGCCTACAGGCAGTTGGGCTGGGCTGGCTTGGTGGGTAATTCAGTTGTGCCAGTATATTCCAGATACAAAGCTAGTGTCCGATTCATTTCTTTCCGCTAAAATCTAACATTGCTAATACGCATTCTCTGCACCTGGTAGTGATGTGGTTTTCATCCAGGGGTATTTTAAATGAAATATGAGAAGTCTAGTATTAATATTTGATACAGTGAGAGCATCTTTTGACACCACAAAGATTTTACTATTCTGTCCTGCTCTAAAGGTACTACAGTATTTTACCAGTTGCCTCTAACCAGTGATATTTTATGGAAAAAGACGTGCCTGAAGACTGGATAGTGGGATCTGGTTGCCTAACTGTTACTTATTTCTCATTTATTGATGCAAAAGGAGGTTTTGCTTAAGAGACTGGGGAATAGTTGTGGGTTTGTAATGATTAAACAAGGCTTTTCATATCTGAAAACTTGTGATTTTCCTTAGTTGCCCAGAGACTGATAAAAATGGGTAAGCACACTGTGAACCTGGACAACAAAATAGCAGATGTGAGAGTGAAGCCTTTTACACTTGAAAGGGGAATCAAATTTGAGGTAATCAACTGAAATATGAAACTCTAAAGATACGAACTTGCAGTACTTAAAAAGCTTTAGGTTCAGTTTTTTGGGTGTTTCAGTCACAAAGCGCACAAAAAATTTAATTTTTTTAGCTCCATGTCGCTATTTCTGGAAAGAAGATCAAAGTTTCAGAAGTACCTGAGCTATCCATTCATGAAGACTGGATGAGAGACAAATTAGAGCTGAATTTCTACAAATCCGAAAAGGGAGGAGGAGAAGTAGAAAATGTGATCTATGACAAGCAGTCTAGGACAGCTGTTATTACATTCCTCAGACCTGGAGGTATAGTATGTAATATTTTGTTAGCTACATGTACACGCCATATTGTCCATTCTGCGTTACATTCCATTCCATGTTACATTCTGTGTTAACTTAACCACTGAATCTAGCAAATTCTTCCCACAGAGAGTTAAGTAGATCGGGAAAAGATGTGGGTTCACCCACACATCTGTAAATAAAGCAGTATTTCATCATACTCCTTTTTGATCAAACATGACCTGATACACAGTTTGTGAGCTTTATTTCTTCCTCTGTCAAAACCCCATTTTTTCTTTGCATTGCTTATATTGCAAAAAGAAAATTAGGAAGATGTGTTTGATTTTAGCTCTTGTTTCATGACAGTGAAGTTAGACAGGCATTCAGATTGCCCAACTATATGAAATCCTGTGAAGATCAGTAGAGCCACATCCTTTTAGAGCAGCTGCTTTAGATTTATTTCAGAAGCTTTTGTGGGTATTTAATGATTCTGCTTTTTTGGAAATGCCAAATAAACTTTTTGCAAAATGCATATGAAGAATCTACAAGTGTGCTATCATCTATTAGTTTGTAAATCCATGTAAGAAAGATTAGTCTGTTCTTTGATATGCTTACAAAATGCATTTTAGATTATATTACTCTTACTCCTCTTTTTCTCGTTCTCCATTACAGCAGCTAACAGCTTTGTGAGATGTACTAAATATCCTTTCTTTGTAAATGGAAAGTGCTACAGGCTTTCTGTTCACCCAGACACCGACATACACCTGGAAAAGTTTCAGGTAAAAGAACCTAGTCCAAGCTAACTCCTAAATAGAACAGATACGTGGGAAATACGAGATACGGGCAGAATTTTCAGCTCTGAGGACTGCAGAAGTTTTTGTGTCATGCACTGTGTAACTTAATAACAAGTGTGAGTCTGCAATATGCTGCCCTGCTGATAATCTTATGTTTTGCAGTGTGAAAGCTGTAATTTATTTTAAAAGGGTGTGCATGTCTTTCCTTGATCAAATGATATCATTACTTACCATAGTGTCTGTGCGAGGCAGGAGGCAGATACTGGAAATGTTTGTCAGGTAGGTTAATAGTAGACACAACAATGTTTTTCTGAGTCACAGAGCACTGTCATATCCATCCCTAGTGAGAGGCCTTGCTGATAGTCTCAGCAGAGACCCTTGTTGTTCTATGAAACATTTGCTCATTCATTTTTTTCATTCATTCATTCAACCCAAATAATGACTTCTTTTCTTGTAACGCTAGTCTGCTTGCTTGTCATATTCTCACTGAAATTGTCTTTTACTTTGTATGAGTAGATGGTAATCAAGTCGGTATTGTGCATATAATCAAGCCTTTATAATTAAAGCACTGACTAGAGTGTGTGCATTTATGAGATAGAACAGCATCGTTTGCAGGTGTGTATCATAGATTGGCATGGATTTTTATGGAGCGATGCTGTCTAGAGTCATCAGAGATGCCCAAACCCAGGGTGTGTGTGCATTAAGGAGCGTAGGACACACCGGTTGAGGAGGCTGGGTGCGTTGCCTGTTGAACTCCGTAGAGTACGATAGAGTTCAGAACTCCTGCTATTTTCAGTGACAGAAATATGCCACAGTGTCCAAAGTCTTAAAATGTAATTAAAGATCCTAGCCATATCTGATCGCGTATATGTTTATTTCCAGTATCTGTCAGTTCCTTTAGATGTACCTGCAACAGCTGATGTGTAATACAACTTTGTTTTTCTTTCCTCAATAGCTCTATTGTGGGATTTCTAAGAAGACCATTCTGTTGAAAGGAATTCAAGAGACAGAAGATGATGAGGAAAGTGTACAGGACATGATTGAAATTCATTTTCAGAAGCCTAGTAATAGTGGTGGGGAAATAGAGAAAATCAAGTATGTATCAAAAGGAGGAACGTGGGTTTGTTTTGAGGAGGATACTTAGAATGCCATATAGGAAATTGTAGATTGAACTTGTGAAGTTCCGAGTTCCTGCTTCATCAGAGGCATGGGAAGTTATGCAGACATTGTGCTTTAATGTTCTGAAATTTATACTTGAAAAAGAGGAACTACCTGTCTTTCTGACCTGTGTAACGGCAAAGACTTTGCATAGAAATTCAGTAAAACTCGCTGCTTGGTGTTCCAGAGGTTCCTGATTGAAGTCATAGAAGAAGCCTTTATCAGCACTTGAAACTTAATCTAAGATTGCCTTCTGCAAATTTGCAGATTTTGTATCTTGCAAATTTTAGACAAGTCACATACTCCAAAGTGGGATAAATCGATTCCTTTGTACATTTTGGTTACAAAAGCCGTATTTAATCCCAATCAGAAGCATCTTCACAGACTTGCTTTTTTAAAGTGCCATAGCTCTGGAAAGTAGCTCTGACAAAACTCCAGTCCTGCTGAGGTTGCTGTGTGCCACCGTAACTCAAATATCTGAAAGCAATTATCCTGTGATTTCATAAAATCTGCATTATCAAATTAGCGATAAAATTAAAATAGCAAAAGGGAAGGGGAGAGTGCAAAAACATCACAGATTTACTCAAGAAATGGCACATTATAAGAAATGCCATAGCAGTAACACTGCTTTTAGCTGTCGAAACGCTGTTACTTCTAGGATCTGCTGCAAATTCTACTGAGCTTCTGATAAGTTAATAGCCTGGCTTATTGTTTGGTTTTAGTATTTGTTTCTACAATTACATTTCTCCTCATTTTTGTTCATGATTTTGCTTACTTGAAAATATTACAGTGAAGAATTGAGATGATTCTTTATCTAAACCAGATTGCTTTGTATCAACGCTGGGGAAACAGTCTGATGGCGAACGCGGTGTCTGAAGTACCAGTTTTGGTGTGTGTGACTGGCCAGGCTGCTGGCTCTGGGAGGGTGTGTAGAGAGGGGCGAGTTGAAAAAAGGCATATAGAGTTTAGGGCAAATTATTTTTTCAGCATGTAAAGCCTCCCATTTGATTCCACTTCATCCTTCCAGTTCTTATTCTAAAAGATCTTTGAAATAAAATGGAAGTGCAAAGTCAGAGAAGGGTTCATTTTCCAAGGAGGAATGTTTTTCCTTTTCTGCTGTGGTCCTTTTTATTTGCTACCCTTGGGGGCTGAAATGGTTTGGCAACAATAATCTTTAAAGTAGCATGGGTCTAACATTGAAAATAACTTATTTTTCATAGTATTTGACATCTTAGTATGCAGGAAAAGGACAATGGACCAAACTAGTGCAAGAAAAGCACTACAATTATACCTCAGGTATTATTATTCTAGAGAAACTGTTAGTAGGCGATAGATAAAGTTCAATATGGGAAACTAAAAGGCTGCTAGCACCACAGTTGATTTTGAATTTACTGTTGGGCAAGATACATGTGACTGTAGCACCTCTTACTGTTTAGTGCATGCAAAGGCATGGATCGATTACCTGACAATTATGAAATAATAATAATAAAAAAAAAAAGTAGTAGTAGTGGGGTATTTATGGAGATTGCGGATTGCATACTTTTGCATGTAACAGTCTTAAAATGTTGACAAGATCAGATGCCTTAAAAAGAAAGGGGAAAAAACCTGATGAAGATAAAAAAGGTCATGAATTTTAACTGTACCTCACTGATAAATGTTGAAAAGTAAATCCTTAAAAAAGGAAGAAATTTAAAATTCTCATAAAGTATCACAGTGTGTGAGAGTAGTGAGAAGCTACAGTTTCTAAGTACCTAAAATCAAGATGAGATTTTAAATAACATTTTAAGACAGTATTTGTAAATGTCTCGGTTTTCTCTCTGATGAATTGATTATACTGTTGAAATTTTGAAGCAATAGTGGTGCCACATAAAGGCTGGAAAACTGCTTTAATGAAGTAAAACAAGAATACAGAATTTAGGTATGTTTCTGTAAATGGCAGTATCCTTTTTTTGTACCTAGTGGAGTGAATTTGTCTTTGACTGGAAGTTTGAAGAACAGCTGTGGCTTTTTTATACCCCGCTACATACAAGTACTTTACATTTTCACAGCGGCAGCTCCCATCGTGAGCCAAACCTCAAGGTCGAGTCAGTCAGGCAGCCCTGGCGTGGGACTAGTGGTTTGGATGTCACGGACAGCCCTGGCGTGGGACTAGTTGGTTGGGTGTCACGGACAGCCCTGGCGTGGGACTAGTGGGTTGGGTGTCACGGACAGCCCTGGCGTGGGACTAGTGGGACTGTTTGGATGTCACGGTAGCTGTACAAGTTCAGTCCGGCCTTTGGGATGCCGTGTCCGTGTGCCTTGCCCTGTGAGGAGCTGGCTTGTACAGCCCTCCGCTGAGGGGACGCACGAAGGGAGCAGCAGGAGGTGACGGGATAAAGCCCAGCAAGG